AAAAAGGAAAAATAAAAAAGGAAGAAAAAAAAGAGGAAGAAAGAAAAGAAAAAGAGTAAGAAATAAAGCAAGAAATAGTTCTGGCTGCTGGGTCACTCTGCTCCATAGCCCACACTAACTGACTACTTGCGTTATAGATAATTGTTTGGAGATGTCACTGATGTACACTCAAGGCAGAGCTTACTGCAGAGTTGATTTATTCTTTAAGAACCACCTTGTTACTATTGCAGTTAAGTTGTTCCTACCCTACTGACACAGTGGCAGTTGAAGACTTTCTGCTAACATTTCCACAGGCAATCACAGCATAACAAAAGTATGTTTCCTTAAGAGCCGTAGGCTTCCATCAGAATTTCATCTCCTGAAAATGGATTTCCACATTGTTCTCTCTAACCAGAGAGTTGGTAGGGAAAGTAAAGAACCTTCGCAGGTAAAACAGTAGTTATTCACAGGACTGGACATTTGCTTCTATTATAGTCAAACATTTGGAAATTGAAATCATAAAACATTTTTTGTTGAAGAAAGAAATTAATAGAAAAACTTAAATGCAGAATAAATTTAAAAAGAAGTCCAAAGAAGCTTGCATTGTTCTTTCAGGACACTGCTTTGTTATTTCTCTGCTGGCTGCTGCTCAGAACTGTACCATCTCTTCCCAGCCCTGCTTCATCACTTACCCATTGCCACTGTGAGCCAAATCCCAAAGCTGAGCTGGCCAAATCCCATCCCTCCTTTTCTGCGAAGCTGGGGTTCTCTGCCAGCTGGTTACCTGCACTTCATTTCTCTGGGGACAGATACTTACAAGAGCTAGCCTTAGGGAAGCCACAGGACCACATGTTAGGAAAAATCCCCTCTCAGAAAGAGTGGTGAGGCAGTGGCACAGGCTGCCCAGGGAAGTGGTGCAGTCACTGTCCCCGGTGGGTTCAAGAAATGTGTGGATATCACAACAAGGGACATGGTTAGTGGGCATGGTGGGGATGGGTTGGTGGTTGGACTAAACAACCTTAGAGCTCTTTTCCAACTTAATGATTCTGTGATTCTATGTGGGCAGGAGGAAGGAATAACATCTCCTTCCCTAGCAGCTGTTTAATTAGTGTCTGATGAGAAGCTACACAACCAGCACCTCTCAGCCAGGGCACTGCTCAAATACTTTGGTAAGGAATTAGGTTCAGCTGCCTCCAAGCACCTTCCTGGCTGGAAAAGCCAGATGCTTGGACAGGTCTTTAAGGACGTTCTCTTACATCCATCTCCCTAAATGTCTTATTTGCACAGCCCTAATCACAAAATTACCACAAAATCCCCTGTACGCAATGGCAACTTTTTGTTTTAATTTTTATAAGATTGAGAGCTATGTGTTCATGAACATTCACTAATAAGTGAATGTTCTGGTGATAGCCAGATTCTAGTGTCTGAAAGAAATAACACAGTGGCTCCACAGCCAGTTCTTTGGCAAGAGCAGCCAGCCTAGCCCAGCTACCTGCCAGACTGCCCAGCCAAGAGAAGCTGGAGATATGTCACCTTAGGAATGTGTTTGCAGGCAGGAAAGAGCTGCAGTCCACCAGTGATTTACACTGCAGTGTGACAGTGGGATAAATACACCACTGGAGTCTACAGTGATCTGGAAATAGCAGCCCAGATGTGCATGGCTCCTTCCTTCCAGGGAAGGGGAGTTTCCCAGCAATGTCTATGCTACTGTCACTGTGGTGTGCTGGGATGTGTAAGAGCCACACCTCAGATGCTTGCTGAAAAGCTGCTCCACCAGGGACTTCTCTGTTTTCCTAACTTGTGAGTTAGGAATAACAATCCAGCCCTGGCCTTTTCCAGGTACCTGAATGTCACCAGGACTCCAGACTCAGTCTCTCCTCCGCTGATTTCTAAACGTGTGATCTCTTTCTTGGATGTCTGATGCAGCTCTGTAAAACAGAGAAATAGAGACTACACGTCTTTATCAGAGGAGTGGTTGTTCTTGAAGTTTAATTACTTTTCATGAGAGCATTTGAGACTAGATGTGTGTGTATATGTGTAAGCCTGCTTGTTTTAATAGAATTTCAGATAGTACTAATGCAGTTATTTACTAACAGAAACGCTTTCAGTTGCATTTTCAGTATATACCCTGGATTTATTCTCTATCTGCATATTTAAAGTCTACTTGTTGAGGAAGCTGAGGGACATATAAGACACATCAATATTGCCAGTATATTATAGCTGAGGTGTCAGATTCAACATCCATGAATTAGAGCAGTACTTTGTCTTGCAGTCTGCTGGTGAGAACTGTGATCTTGTCAGATCTCATAAACTGAAGGTTGAGCCTTAGATGGAAACCTCGGAAGAACACCCATGTGCTTTGTGAAATATTTCACCTTCTGAGTCATCCCTGTTCTCCTGAGTCATATCTACAGCAGGAGATCTGCTGTGTACTTCATTGTTAGTTATTAAGGTTACTACAGTTATCAGCTATTCAAAATACATTCAAAGGGGGCTGTGGTCAATAAGGAGCACAGTATTCTCCTCCCAAAAGAACAGAACTATGTACACAGGTATTTTGCAGGCTGTACTTTATCTTAGGAAATCCTGCCAGCAATTACATTTGAATCCAACCTTTTGGGTCTTTCACTGGCCTGGAAGAGCAACAGACTGCTACAGGTTTTATTTCTCCTGGACACTTGTGAATAATTGCTCTTAAGAGAGAACCAGTTTCTGACCATCTGGACTCCTGCAGTTTCCAGAGAACACAGAGTGGAGCTGTAAGTGTTCAACATATCTCTGAATCTGGGCCCAGAGGACTTTGAATTTTGGTCACAGCTGAGCACTGCTGCCACAGTGCTCTAGAGGAGCACCCTCTCCTCCCCATGACTGCATCAAGATCAGGAGACCTCAGAGATAGTCCTTTGCACACCCAGATGGCTGCTATGCAAGCAGTGTTTGGGCATTCAGCATATGCTGCTGGCATTTGCTGGGATCAAAGTCTCTGTGTAATAGCAAATATTCAGGGTTCTTGTGTCCTCTGTTGTTATCACTGAGGTGGAATTGAGCTGTCAAATTTCAATGTGTAATTTCACCACTGGAACCCAAGCCTCTCCATGCAAAAGTCATTTGTACTTGGAACACAGGATGAGGGATCATTTACATTTTTCATTGTTATTAGTATAAAGAGTCTTTGTTGGCTTTCTTGCTTTGCAAAGAGTAAAGCATAATTTGGCCACAAATATTTTTTGCTATTGCTTTAGCAAGACAAATGGCAGCTTTCTCTTCTTAAGCATCTCTACAAGCCAAAGGGGACATGCTCTCCTCAGTACATTCAATACTTTGGTAGGAAGAATTACATTCTTCCCATACAGAACCATTTATTATTTATTTTTAATTTGTATGTGTGGCACAGTCTTGCCTGGGAGCCTGCGACTGCAGCTCTTATAATTTAATGTTTCAGGAAGATTAGGATAAAAAATGGTTTGGAAAAACTGTATGACATCTTTGCTATTTAGTTCTTTTAACCACAAAAGCTAGCCTGAACTGCTTGCTTCTCACACAGATACGATGGCTTTTCCTTCCTTTATTTTTGGACTGTATCAGAGGTCTTCTCTCAGTGACTCGTATTTATACAGCTACTTGACCTATTTCAGGTGTGACAATTTATCAACACAGTTATAAAATTTAATGTATTGGGTGAAAAAATGGTGATAAAATACACACTTGCAAGAGTGACTGCTTATTTATCACTCTTTGCCTGTGATAAAGCCTCAAAGTATTGTCAGTGGAAAGGCTGAGAAAGCTGTTTTCAAAAACTTCTGAGACTGGGAAATCATAATTGCTTCATTATATAAGAATGGTTTGTTGCAGCTTCTGTTATCCTGCTGTCTAGCAGAGACAATGCTTGTGGGTTTTGCTTCTTGACTCAGATTTGACACTATAAACTGTTCACCAAGATTTTTTATGGCCTTTGCATTCTGACATGAGTGTTATCATTAGATGAATGCTTGATATTACACTAAAACAGCTTAAAATGTTATCATGCCTGAACCAGACGTACCAACAGCCCCATTACAAACACATTAATCAACTGTATGCACTCGCACTACTTCGGCATGACATAAGATGTGTATGGATGAATCGCTTTCAGCAGGTCATGGCAGGAATTAGGAGTATGTGATGAACAGTTACTCTAGAATAAACTGGGATCGAGGATCATTACGTTCCAGCCACCTGCCTGCATGCAAATGATGCCTCTTTCAGAAAAAAGGGACCAGCACAAAGCAGTTCAATCTCTTTTATATACAACTCACAGGCTTAATATTTACTTCAACTGTCTGGGACAAGGGATTCTTACTAGGAATAGTAAGGCACAAGGAACCAGGTTCAAGGAATTCAAACTTTAGAGGATCTCTGAAGATTAATATAATAATAATAATGTTGTGGCTTCTCAAGATCTGCTGGTCTCAAGCTGAGAAAAAGAAATTACCAGCTCACAGCCCTTTTCCATGAGGTGGAACATGAAATAACAGTAATGGTTGGTGGCCCACCATCTGCTCAGCAACTGATATGGAAAGGCTGGAAGATCTCAGTCCACTTCTTAGCTTAGCCTATCCATAGCACCCATATCCATCATAGATGTACTCACTTGTGTGTACAGTCAGCTGTGAGGAGATGGCAAGCTTCCACAAAGGGAATGACCACATGTTGCTTTTACATGTGTATATCTGTAAGCTCCTCTTTACAGCAGCAGTCTTATTTGCAACCCCCTATAAGCCCATACGCTGCTGAAAGATGAAGAGTGTGATACCAAATTGGATCAAACACGAGACACATATCAGATTGTTCTAGGAGCCCCACTGATGTATTACACCCCTTTAATTACACCCATAGCAAGGCACTAATAGAGAAAGCATGGTGATAAATTATGTCCATACTAACCATCTATTAACACCACAGCTGAGAATTTTTCTGCTGGCTGCATTCTCCCACTGCAGGTACGTGTTCTTCCACTCCATCTGCAAGCTGCACCAACTTTTCAGTTTCACTATTTGTAAGTCACACAATATCACACCTGCAAGTTTTGGGTAGTTGAACGGCCTGCATTCAGAGCATCACCAGTCTGCTGGGCTGTACAGCTACCTGTTGTGATGCTGCTTTAGTGTTTCTATGGAAACAGTAACATGGTGTTAATTTTAAAACACACAAAAGGATATGCCTTCCAGATGGGTTACTTCATATTTTCTCCCCTGCACTACAGGTTTCAATAGCCTCTAAACTTGGGGGATAATTACTATAATGAACTGGATCAAGCTGGCTCAGGCCTCCTACATACACCTGATGTAGTCAAGAGCTTTCCAAGAAAGCTGTGCTGAGAGGTCTACCTATAGACATGGAGACAATTCCCTGGATAATTTTCACAGGTAGCTCTGGTTCTCCAGCCCTAAGGCGATCAGCAAGCCTGGCAGAGGCTCCTGTGGGACCTGCTGCTGTTCTTGCTAAAGATACCATGAGGCCTTCAGCTTTCTCCTCACTCGCTATAGCCAGCCTGGGGTGTATGCAGCAAAGAATTGATCCAACTGTGCCTGAGGAAAGGATAAAAAAGGGGAGAGGCAAGAGGTGGCAAGAGAAAGCATAGAGAAAATTGCAAATATTTGAACAGGAAGATGCTTGTCACATGTGGGAAGTGTCAAGACAAAGAACAGCCGAGAACTGCTGCTGTCCTTGAGTTAAACAGGCTTGGTGAGGTACCAAAACAACATCACTAACAGACACTCATCAGCATCTACAAAGCCAAATACCCTTTTCTTCTCCTAGAATATCAAATAGGGCTCAGTCTTAGAAAATGCAATGGGACAGTAAGCCTGGAAATTATCCAGTCACTGGCAACCAAGGCTGGAGTTGTATTCTGAGGAAGAATCACCGTTGATTTTCCTTGCTCTTACACTCACCCGTGGGCATCCTTGGCCACCACCCAGAGACAGGATGCTGAGCCAGATGGACATTTACTCTGAGCAAGTATGGCTTTTATGATTTTCTTCTGTAAAGTATGACAAGCTGGCATCTGCAAAAAGCAGAACATTTTAATTTATTGCTGACAAAAATGTCAATCTAATCTCCATTTTACCAATCCTTGACCTGTCTGATAAACACATTCGTTTTCTAATGAAAACAGCTCTGCTAGTTAAATGCAAACATACTCAGCAGCATGCCTATTTACCAGCTCCTTGATTAGCTAGTTGCTTGTAATTTTTCTAGTTTTTTTCTACTTCTCACTGCATAAGCCTCAAATGATCTCTACCAACCTCTCTGCAAACAAGTTAGTGAGCAGCCTGGAACTGCTGCTCTCCTTGGACTGCACAGGGTGGTCAGGAACACAGCTTGTCTTCCCCTGAGAGCCCTGTGAGGGTGTCAAACCACAGATATGGTGTTTACTATTGCAGTTAGACAACCAGATAGGGAAATAGCCTCATAGGATTCCTTCTAAACTGTCAATACTGGTGTTCCTTTAATAAATAGGAGGTTTGCAGATAAATCTTATGTGGCTTCAAGCGAGCTCATGATTTCTTTACTTTCTATCTTAAGTCATTATGTAGTATTGCTAAGCTCAATTAAAAAGATGTCCAGGGTGAGATTGATCTCTCTGTGCTACTTACTGATGTCATCTGGGTGCTTTTGGATATAATTAATATTCCTAGAGTGTATTTTAACTGTTGAGTTAAAAGCCTTATAGCACCCAAATGGAAGTGTTTTCTATGTTAACCTGACAGCAATGTAATATGGGAATACTGATTTTAAAGAATAAGAAAGAGTAAATTACCTCAAGGAGCAGGCCAAGCAGGGAAATGATATAATGAAGCGGAAAAGTCAGTAGCGTGGCTTATGAATGATGAACTTGACATTAGTGAGTAGGCCAACAGGATTCTGTTGTCATTAACTAGGAAATAAAGGCCAATTTTTGTACACTAACAATTTCAGCAGGGGCTGCAATCTATTGAATGTTAACAGTACAATGTTATTTTCCTAGAACAGGCCTGTATCATCAAAAGCTGCCAGCTGCTGATTGTTAGTTCTAGTCCCTATGGCCTCTTTTTCCAAAAGCTTCATGGATTTTTAAGCTACTTTTTCTTTTTTTTCTTTAGCAATGTCAAAAAATCGTATCCTCACTGTTCATCTCAAAAAAAAATACCTAACTGCAGGTACCCGATGTGGACAGCTATTCAGCTACTCAAGTCCGAAAGAATAGCCAATTTGGAAGAGTGATGTTTCATAGCACACAACAATGAAAGGTAAGCAGCAGGATGCCCACATTAAGGGATAGTGAAGCTTTGCACTCCCTCCCATCTTGAAGTACATTAATTTCATGTACAGGTCAGAAAATGTTATTATAAACTAAGGACTAAGTATTAAGTACAAATGCATGTGTGAACACAAAGGCTGCTGAAGAATGGATCACCAAATGCAAAATAATGACTGTGTGTCAGCAGGGCTGTACTGGGCTTACTGTGAAGATATGGAGGAAAAGTGAGGTTTGGAAGTTGCAGGAGGGACTGAGGGTCAGAATTGTGGAGCTGGGGCTTAGCTCTGTTTCAAGAACCACTACTTCTGTCCTTTCAGCCAGAAGCTCACCTTCAACCACAGTTCCTGCAGCAAATGATTCTATAGCTGCCTTGGCCTGAGATCAACTGGCAGAGAAACCCACACATGAGCACAGAGAATAAACTGTTGCAGCTGTGTGCTGGGATTGCTCAGAGAATACCTGCTTTGAGGAATAAATGCCAATTTGTAGCTGTTTGTGGACATGGATCCTCTAGGCAAGATTGGTTGTAATTAAGGCATCTGCTTATTTTTGACATCTTAGAGTTTTGACACCCTTCATTGATATGGACTGATTCTTATGTTGGCTGAGTTTGAATTACTGTTGGACATTCCCCTAAACTGGAAAGAGAGAAAAGGCACATTATTTTGTCCAAATTAACAGGCTTTTCTTTTGCTTCTAAAAAGCAGTTGCACATCCCTGTCACAGTGCTGTCATTTCAAATGAAGAATGTAGCTGAAATTCTTGATTCACTACAGTCAAAGCAAAATCATCATTAGCTTCAAAGGTAACAGCATGTCATTCTACGAGAAAAATGTACTGTCTAGTGGTACTGAAGTTTAGCTTCCATTAACAAATAGGTGGACACTAAATTACTTAAGATCAGCTCTGCTATTTTCACCTGAACACAGAGACTCCTCTAGCCTCAGAATTACTTAGCAGGGTTCATTGCTTTTTAAGTAAAAATAAAAACCTAAAGCTGTAGTGCTTTTGTTGGTGTTTTGTTGGTGTTGTTGCCTTTGTAAAGATACTTTTGATAACAACTTGTTTTCTGCTCCAAAATTAAAGGTAACACTGACCATTAAAAATAAATAACCATTTAATCGTGCTAAAAATGGTATTTTTCACAAATACATTCAAGGTAATTTTAGGTAAATATGAAAACGGTACAAAACAGTTTAAATCTTGAAGCTGCTCTTTGCTTTAAAACCTGACCATCTTCTAAATTTGCATTATACATAAGAGTCCCACACACATACCTCTATCATTTTCCAGATCTCTCTGGGATGAAGTTTTGACCAGAGCTTCCATGTTGTTAGAAGGGTATGTTGGTTTTGTAGAAACCAACATAATCTTTTTTACACTGCTACTAACTAACCTAACGCAATTCTGAAAACGTGTTGTCCTAGTGGGGCAGTCACATTAGGAACAGTTTTGGTTCACTCCAGTTACTGCTAGAGAGATGAAGAAAAAACAATTTTGTCCAGTACAAATCTCTTAGAGAATCACAAGCCACTATATTTGTTATTATTGTTACTCTTGGTTTTGGGAACTGAGCCAAATAACGTTTAAAAAGCAGATGGGTCTCAGCTTGGTCCTTCTAATGCAAGTTGGATGTACTATGTTGAGCAAACGCCTAATAACTCTGTGGGTGTTTGCTTAGGAATGGCATTTAGATTAAACAGTGCTTAAGTATCTGTACTTTAAAGGGTCCAGTGTTGTTGCTGGATTTGAAAGTGAACGAAATGTAAATGCTTGCGTTGGCCATTTAGAACAGGCAAAACTTAAATCTCCTTTCAGAGAGCAGAAAGTTACAGCAGCAAATAAAACTCGGGAGTGTGGCAACAACAGTCTATCTTGTGCACCGACGTGCCCAAGGAGACAATGCCCAACGTGCACAGGGCTGCTCACACTCCTGATCCGTGTTACATGAGATCTGTTAGTTCCTGACACATTTCCAGGCTGGATGTACCATCGAGGTAAGGAGCGTTTGCTCCACTGTTGAAAAAAACAAAACAAAACAAAACCAAACACCAGTACCCTTCAACTGTTACACAGTGAAGTTGACTTTATGACACTAGATCAAACTAGAGATGGTCCCTAGATGGAAAGTTCATATTTAGATTCATTTTCTGGGCACACATGGTCATGATCCCGAGCTCTGCTTCCATCTCTGACCTAATTTAGCATGACACTGGGCAAAAGCTTTGAATTGTTTCAGAGCTTTCAAATGTAAGAACCGAAACTCTGGCAATGATGCAGCCCTGCTGAGAGTCAGAAGTGGGTCAATATATGGAAGTCTGCAGTAATTAGATCTTTGTGTTCCTTACAGTGAACCTCCTTCTCACTGCCTAGGTATTTCTGGCCAAGCATGGATTCCTGGACTGGACATTATACATGCTGAATATGAATAAAAGGTCATTTTCCATCTTGATACTATTATCAGCTGCAAGTCAGTTTCCATACTCTCTTAAAACAGTCCAGCAGTTATGTTGCTGTAATTCCTCTTTACTCACGACAATGCTGTAGAAAACACTGTCCTTACCTTCTCAGTGCTGCCTGAGCAGTACAATAACCATGGGATGTTTTGACAGAATCTCCTTTGCAGTCTTTGGAAACAGAGTTTGCTGGGAATACCTTAAATAGCAAATCAGAAATCTGAGTTTATAAAAGGGATTCTTTCTCAGTTTATCTGTTCTATGTGTTTTGTAAATCTTATCTCTACTAATGAAACAGCGAGCAGGAAGGAATGAGCTGGATTCTGTCCTGTCTCTGGCACCACCAGCAGAACTGTCAGCTCAGCGCTATTTGTAGATTTTCTCTTGCCTGGGTGATGTGAGAGA